TGGGCCCCATATTTTTAAAGATATACTTTCAGTTTCACAATGTGGAATCTTTTCGTCCATAAAATTATTTTAATTTGAAAATTGAAAGCAAGGTTGAAGGTACAACTTGTTAGCTACTATGACCAACATTCAGTGACCCACAGCATAAGCCTGATTTACTATGCAGATATGAAGAATAATATATTCTGTGTCCTCAAGCAGAATTTTTTTTTTTCATTTGATGGACTATCCAGGCACACAAATGAATATTTGGTGTCCCAAATGCCCAAAGGAAAGTATTTTTATGGTTTTACAATAGCAAAGTTTCAGAATTGTGATTTATAGAGTTTGCTTAGTTGAGTTCAGAAAACAGCTTGTCTTCAAACAAGTGAATTTTGTAATGAGAAAATTATCAAAAGCTTTTAGCTACTTAAGCTATTTTAGTGACAGATGCATTCATCCATTATGGACTATAAAACCTATTGATTACTTGACTTGATTACTGAAACTTTACAGCAGGAGAATCCTGTCTGACTGATATATCCCCCCTTCAGCCAGAATATATTAGTGAAGAATGATTTTATGATACTGCAGCATTTCATATAAGCACTGTTCTCTCAACAAACTCCAGTAGATAATTCACACAGGCAAACGGTGATATATTTAGACTACAGTAGATATCCCTGGCAGCTATTTACCATTCTCACATAAGTGCCAAAACTCTCAAGCCCAAAAATCTGAACTCAGTGGGAGAGCCATGGATAATTTTGTTTCTAGCATTTCTTTTCAGAGTCTAAATGACTGTCAGCCAAAGTAGATTTTGTTGGGTAAGAACTAATGCACATGGCAACACAGAGTAATTGAGAAAACAGTGAATATGAGAAATCACGGTTAAGAGTAGGTTGCTATGTGTGGTTTGGAGGCTATTTTTGGTAAAATCCTTCATCTCTGTATACTATAGTTTTGAGGAGTTACTGTTACACTTGTTTTATAGACAGGAAATCTTTGGAACAGTTCAATTACTTTTCTAAGGGCATTCAGCTGAGACATTGTGGGATTATGATTTCAAAATTGATGTTTCTCTTCTGTGCACACTCTTAGAGCTGGAGTAATCATAATTTGGGGTCTTGATTTTTGAAATCTATAAGAACAGAAGCACAGTAAACATTATATGTAGGAATCAGAATCTACACAGTATCTAATATGCAATTAACGTAGCAATATACTGTAGATCTCTATAATTTGTCAGTTGCCTTTTAGTTCATTTCAAAAATCAGATCAGTAGTGATGACTCAGTCAGCAAAGATTTCAGTCTTCCTTGCAGTTTTGTAATACCCAAACTGAACAGTTTCCTTTCAGATTTCCTTCTATCTCTTCAAACCGTGAGAGATAATGAATTATTTTAAGAAGGCAATTTTGGAGCTTTTTTTTTTTTTTTTTTTTGGAAAAAACATAACAAGATACAATTTGCACTCAAAGTGACATATTTTAAAGATATGTGATTTGTTCTGTCTGAAGCAAGCCAAGGCCAAGACTAACTCATGATCTGCTTAAAATTATGACGACCATCTGCCTTCCAGCATGCTACAGTGGAGTCAATCTCTGGAAAATGCTCCCCATTACTGAAATGAGAATAATACTGCAGAGTGGTGTTCAGAGTTTATTTATTTGATTACTGATGCTTAACCCGCTCTTGATGCTTCAGGGCCATTTCTAAAAGAAGGTTCTTTAATGTTTTGAAAAACTTTTGGCTAATTTCTACATTTCGTCTTGTTCATGTACTCTTTTTATAAAATCCTCTTTAAGGTACTTGTATGAAAATAAAATTTTTGCTCTTAAAAGTTCATCTGTTCCTACTACTCAGCTCTCACATGATGCAATAGATTTTGTTTTTATCATTTGTTGTCATGGGAATGAATAAGCAGGTTCGTTATATTTGATCATTGGTTTTCTGGTTCTGTGATTTGGGAATGTAGAGACCAGATTTCACCAAATCAATTTCACGTCCTTTTTAAAAAAGTAAAGAGAGGGGCTGGAGATTTAGCTCAGCGGCATAAGCGCCTGCCTTGCAAGCAGGCAGTCGTGAGTTCGATCCCCAGTACCGATAAAAAGGAAAAAGACAAAAAAAAAAAAAAAACAAAAAACAAAAACTACGTGCTCCAATCCAGATACCCCAGTGGCGTTCCTTGCATTGCATTTCTCTCTTCTCTGGAGCTGTGTTGAAGTAAATAAGCCCTTGCCATGCCATTCCATGGACAGCCTTGGGGAGAGCCACGTCCCAAAAAACAAGAACACAGAAGTAGACATCTGTCATGTTCAATGGATGGTCAAGGTAACGCACAACTAAACTTTGGCCATTGGACTTTACTGTAAACTAAATGAAAGTGAAAATCACTAATATGTTCCATCGTATCTCTAATACCTAGCACACCATGTGAACACAGTTATTTTATCCAGGGAATGAGAATGACTGTCCCACATTCCTCTTTTCTGTCCCTCTAGATATATCAGTCCAAGAGGTTTGTGACCTCTTATGTTTGGCTAAGGAGTAAAAACGTCTCAAAAGAAGTGGCCATTGGACTGCTTGTTGGGGTAGTGTTTAGGGTAGTATTTGTGTTGCCTGAAGGGATGCATATGATGGAGGTGTGGTAAATGGATGGGAGAAGGGATTGACAAAATACAATAGATTATTTCATAGCCATATGAATGCAGTGGGAGGAGAGACCCTGTAACTTTCAGAAGAGATGTAAAAGAAGTTCCTTTTCTTTTGAACTCACAGGGTGATCATAAAGGGCCTATGCTTTAGATGATATGAAAAATGATAAGTGAAGTTTGAAGCTGACATTTGATCACAAACCTCTTCTGAATCAGAGGAGGTCTCATTTCTGCTTACATCAAGGGCATACCAAGAATGAGAACTAGAAACAAGCTTTGTAACACATCACTTCTTGAAGTCTATAGTTCAGGTGGGGCATAAACTGACCTGGCCCGCTGCATTTCTATACACTTTGACAAGGACTTGAGGAAAAATAATTGTGTCTATTCATATTATTTTCTGTGTTATATTTTGGCTGCCTCCTCTTGTTTCCTCTTCCTCCTCCTCTTCTCCTTTTTCTCCTCTCCCTCTCCTCATCCTTTCCTCCTAAGTTGCCCAAGTGGCCTCCAATTGTAGTCCTTGGTATTAACAGTGTGTCCCATCATGCCTGACTCTGTTCTCTTAGAAGTGACACAGGCATTAACTCTGAGAATCTTAGGCAGAAACTAAGTGACCCAGAAAGTCAGAGATTTTCACAGAGTGAATCAGAAGAGGAGTGGTGGCAGTTTTAGAACAATTGTTGTCTGGCTGCCATCACACTCTCACACACACAGCAAACTTCTGACCCTGAGTATTCTATACTCCAGATGTTCTTCCTAGCATTTGTGTCCATAGGAATTCACCAAACCTTGTGAGAAAACTGGTTTCAAGTATCTTTCATAGACTGAATGAGCAGAAAAGTCAAGTGGTATCTTCTTCACAGACTGACCCCTCATTGGGCTCTTTGTTATAATTCCTAGAGGTTACCACAATACTATAAAACTACTAGAACTTAAGCTACAAACTTTAAGCTCATTAGCATTTTACTTGTGGTCTCTGTTTCTCTTTATATACATATTCACATGCATGCATGCAGCAACAAAAGCATAAGATTGAATGATTTTAAAACATTTCTATATAATTGTGGTCTGGAGCTGCTTATCTGTTTGTCTATCTGTCTGTCTATGTTTCCAAATGAGAGAAGGAGGAAAAGGAATCTGTTCAAGGACTCAAGGATCACTCTGTATTACAAGAGAGACGTAACAACAGTATCTACAATTATAAGCCAATTAGGTAAGTAATTGACAATGCAAGTGTACAAGGGTTTTGTTCCACTTGTTCCAATTGTGTTTAATGTAAGTGGCATTCTGTAGTTTTCAGCAAGTGAGGTTTCTAATCAAGCCACAAATGATCTTATAATTAACTGCCTTTGTCTGATCTTCAGGAATGAAATGCAGTTTCGTTTAGGGAAATGAAGTAGGTGTTAGACTCTCCTTGCTTTTATTAGAAAGGCTCTTTTTACTCTTTCCAAATGGCTTTGTTAATAGAATCAGAAAATTAGTGCTCATACATTGCCAGCCTCATGAGAAAATCAATGAGTAAATCATGCCAGTATCTTCACGATGCAGGCATGTTACAAAATACTGAATTGTGACTTGGCCATATTTTCCAGAATTGTACACAATACCTTCAGCTGTCATCATAATTAGCCTTTAAGAGCCTTTCCTAGACAATGATTCTTAAGCTTACATCCATGCTATAATCACAAGTGGTTTCTTTCAACAAAAAACACTAACATTTCTACTCTGGATAAATTTGATAAAAATCTTGAAAGGTAGAGCATCCTAGGTAGGAGATCTCAATGTCCATCAGTGTTATGGTTTGTGTTTGGATGACCCCCTCAAGCCTCATGCAGTCATGAAAATGGCTGAGTCTAGCGTTTGTGATTGGTTCATTGTCCAATGCTGGAATTGATGGTATGAATGCTGCATCCACCCATGCATGGGTAATTGGCGTACAATATAAGGGAGGAAAGAAGGTGTGCTTCTCCCTTTTTACTCTGTTCACTTGTGTTGCTTGTTACCACCAGGAGAAGTTGCCCCTTACCCATGCCACCCTGTCTTGAACAGGCTAAGTATGGAGTGAAATCTCCCAAAACTGTAAACTAAATAGACCTTTCCTTCCCTAATTTGGGGCATCACATGTTTCGTCTCAGGAATAAGAAACAGTGAGCAAGAAAATCAGAGTTGAGAATTAATGACACAGACTGAAGTTAGTGCTTTTTAATATAAAGGGCAAGATAAGAAGGACTGTCACAACTACTTAACTCTGATGTGAAGGAAAGCATAGTCAGTATGCAGACAAATGGGTATGACTGTGTCCTAAAAACACTTTATTCATACTCTGAGGCACTAAACTAGGCTTGGCCTGATATTATGGATTGCTTTTCTATGACCTCAAAAAGTTACATCACCCCTGATTGGTCAAGGGTGCCTATATCCCGGGGATGGTTCTCTGGCAGACAAAAAGCACTTTGGAGGAAAATCACCTTGGAGACCGCAGTCAAGTGCTTAGTGAGTCTGCAAACCATTATGGATTTGAACTGACATTCTATTAATTCTGATTTTAACCTCAGAATCAGATAATGCAATTAGTTTATTAATAAGTACTACTGGGTTGATAGCAAAGTAGACTATGGATAGTATTGGGCTTACAGGTAGAAACATCTAGATTTTGGAATTTGCATTGACAACCCCTAGTTACTGTATAAGATATAGGGCTGTCATTTAACCTGAGGTGCAGGTTCTCTACTACTCTTATTTGAGTAATAATATTCAAGTCAAAGGAGCCTGGTCCTGCTAGATTCCTCATGAAAATGCAATAGTTTTTCTAGCTAATAATACCTCATTTATTGAGAATTTACTGAGAATTTATCATATATTAAGCACTGTCTGAATCATTTTATATTCATCAGTATTTTCTGGCTGCTATGAAAAATAAGAATCAAAATAGCACATACTTTTCTTCGATTAATTTTCACTCCAATATAGAAAATTATATTCATAAATATCTTGAGAGAGAATATAGTAAATTCTAAGGGATTTGAAACTCTGTATCTGGTATTGCAAATGGAGAGTTTATATAAAGGTGGTTAACTAAAATACTCAAAAAAATAAATGGTAACAGGAGCTTACAACAGAAAACCATATAATTTCATTGTGCAAATATAGAAGAGGTTGAAGAAAGAATATGAAAAAAGGTGCAAGAGTAAGAAAGTAGGACATAACCTTTGGTTATATGTCAACCTCAATGAAGTAAGTACAAAACACTTATCAGATTAAGAATCAGCATTCTGGGTATGTCTGAGTGTGTTTGAAATACAGACCAGGTGAGAAAAGAACCCCCCTTAGTTGTGGGTGACATCAACCAATAGAATTGTTGCCTGGATAGAATAAAAAAGTAAAAGAAGAAGTGTCTCTGTTTTGAAGAGCTCCGGTCTTCCAGTGGTGCGTCCACTGGTGCTGCTGTCTTTGTGCATAGGTCTCTGGCTCCAGTTTCTTCAGCTTCCCATCACACAGTTGTACTAGTGACCCTCCAGGGAGCTCTAAGCCTTTGACTTTGGACTGATGCTTCATCTTTGATCCTCCTTGTTCTGCAGCTTCCAACAGCTTAGGCTGAACGGTCCTTGGGTTCTCCAGCTCTTTAGTGCACAGACGGTCATTTTGGACTCTTGCACCTCTCATTCTGTAAGCCTACCTAATTATTACACAATTTTACATATATTTTCAATTCTGCAGAGATCCTAACTAATAACATGTGATGTGTTGAGGGCTAGAAACCACAGTATGCAGCCAAAATATTTGAGTGTAGGATGATGGAGAAAAGGTTAGAACCAGAACATGCAGTGTTCTTAATTTTGGACTAAGGAGTTGAACATTTTTGTAAATCACTGAAGGAATATTTAAAGTTATTAGAGAAAAGTGGTACACTCTGAGCTTAATTGAAAGTTGTGGATGTATTGGAAAGATAGTAAACTACTATTTTTGCTTTTCTATATTCATTACATAGAACTGTTAGAATGAATAAATGAGTTAATATAAATAAAGTAGTACCTTAAATATAAGTAATATCTTAAAGTGATACCTTAAATGTAAGTAATATTCAAAAGTGGTGTACCAAAAAGAGAGAAGTATATGATCAGAATAATCATGGTTTTCTAAAAGTCCAAAATCTTTTATAAATTTTATTTTGATTTGTTTAGTTAGACATAACTCTGGACAGGTAATATCAATATATATGCATGTTACATTCCATTTTACTTTTAAAAACATGAACTTGGATATAAGTCAAATGATGAGCCTGTCAGTCGTTAGACTGTATTTTGTTTCATAGAATTATCATGGACTATTTAACGTGGACCTGCTACCTTTCCAAAGGGAGTCACAGGAAGCTTGAACCACTACACACGTGGAAGTGTGGCAGTTAAAGGGAGTGTTTGATGGATTCAGGAAGAGGAAAGAAAGCTAAATTCAGTTTAACTTCTAAGGCACGAAGCTATGAGGATTTCAGTCATTGTAACAATGGTAGCATATAAAGGAGGACACAGATTCAACTATGAAATGATAACAGTGATCAAATAGAAAGGAACTAAAGTTCAGATTCAGAAATGTTAAATAGTGGCATGATTAACAAACCTGGGAAAGTATTGAAGAACATGATGAATGGAGCAGATGTGGTAGATTCTGCTGGGCCATGTTCAGTTGGAGGTGTTTAAGCAGAGCCATTTTTTATGCAGATGAAAATGTCAGAGTGAACCAAAACCAAACAAGAATCTGTATTTCTAGAAACTGGCTAACTAAAGTTCATGACTTAATTTCTGTGCAGAAATCACCATTTTTTATTTTTATTTTTTCTGTTGGCTCAACATTTGGTCCTAGCGAGGCAAAGAATAAAGCAAATACTTGACTGTGCATGATGTGTAATCAGTTTCAACCAACAGCTTATCTGTTTGAACTATATATCCATGGTTTGATTTTTCTTTTCCAACTCGTCACCATTTTGTGGACTTTGACTCAATAAATCTCTGATAACATCTGTATTTCACATCAAACTATTCTTCCTATATTCTCATTTCTTGGTTGATACATTTGATAGACTTTTTTTTTTTACTCAAGCAGGATGGACACGAAAATATTTGAAGAAATCAAAGCAATCAATCACAAAATATCAAGGTAAGACAATGTACAAAAATGACCATATAGTTATTTTCCTTTTTCGAAGGAAATAATATACTCATCATTGATTACTCTACTAAGTCTTTAGAATAAACAGGGGAAATTATGTCAGTGAAATTTACAGGAACTGATAATAATTTTGGAGGGGGGTAATTGGCAACCAGGAAATGTTTCTGAGGTGAGTATTTGCACATTGAAATTTTTAAAGTGCATGACATACATTTTAAAATGTGTCTAAAAAGAGGCAGATAGGACACTTATAATGGGACATGAGATTTTGAGCAGTGGAAAAATTAATAGTGGAATTGATGATGCTTAGCAGATGGTTAGAAGAAAGGAAGTTATGCAGAACACAGAAATCAAAGGTCACCACAAGTTTTAACGCCTGAGAGCCCCGATGAACGGAAGTGCTGTGAAACATGTTAGAAGAGATGGGGCTTGGCTCTTTGTTCTGGGATGGGAAAGACTGAACTTGAACATTAGATTGTATGATCAGGACGTTTCATAAAGGAAAGATGATTGTGGAGTGATATACTAATTACATGACCACGTGCAGACTCCAACTCCAATTTCTTGAGGTTTCTGGGGTCCAGCCTCTAGGAAGCATCACTACAAGAAACCATATCTCCTTGCTAAGTCCGTGTCCCAGTGAGAACACTATATATTTGGTGGGTAACTGCCTTAGGATTGTTAAGGGAGAGCAGGGGACTGTATCAGTGCAAGGGGTGGAAGCAAACCATTACAGCTCCTGGAAAAGTGTGGGATCATTCTCAATGCATATTCCATCTCTTAATCATGTGTAAGTACTTCTGGCTTTTTAAATTAACTAAATCTATAAAATAATTAATTTCTTTTTTTTTTGATTTCTATTAGTACGTGTTTGCAGAACAAAATGATTATATTTATTGAAGCGAATTGGTATATGTACATTATACACTTCAATCCTTTTATCCCTTCCCTTCACTTTCATTTTATTGTGCCACCATCAGACTCATTTATTCATTTTAGAAGATCCTATAAACTGGTTATCATATATACAGTTTAAAAAGTAGACTAAAGGCCAAAAAATCATCCAAAACCTTCAAGACAATTTCCAAAGTTAGGTTGTAGTTTTTGCCATGTTCTCTGGACTGGGATTACAATATTCTCTCTCTCTCTCTCTCTCTCTCTCTCTCTCTCTCTCTCTCTCTCTCTCTCATTTCTTATTCCATAATGTATTTATAAGAGAAACTTTGTGATATTTAAGCTTGTGTGTCTGAGTTATTTAACATAGGCTCAAGGTACATCCATTTTCTTACAAATAACTCAAGTTTATGCTTCTTTATTCAAGAATAGCAGTGTACTCCACCGTATAAATGATTTTTTTATCCACCCATCTGTTGACAGGCAGACAGGTTGTTTAGAAGATTTAGGTTTTATGAATTGTGCTAAGATAAACATGGATGTCAGTTAAACACTTTAATTCCTTTGGGAAAATGATAAGAAAGGGATAGCTGGGTTGAGTGGATTTGTATTTTTAGTTTTTTCCAGAATCTCCATACTAATTTCTGTAGTGATTATAGAAGCTTACAGGCACAACAACAGTGAAGAAGGATTCCTTTTTCCCTATTGCCTCATTTGTCATTGGTTAATTTCTTGAAGGAAGTCATTCTTTCTGGAATGAAATGGAACCTCAACATTGTTTTAGTTTGCATTGCTTGAATGAATGGCCAGTGATGTTGAACATTTTTTCATGTAGTTATTTGCCATTATATTTCATATGAGAAGTGTCTATTCGCTTAAGATGCCCATTTTTAGACGGAGTATTTAAATTTTGGAGATCTAAATGTTTTGAGTTCTTTGTGGACTGTAGATGCTATTTGTTTGTCTGAAAACTAGCTGGCAAATTGCTTTTCCATTTTTTAGGTGGTCTCCTCAGTTGTTGTCCTTTTCTTCACAGATGCTGATTAATTTGATGTGATCCTATTTATTGATTCTTATACAACCAGAGTTTTGTTCAGAAATCTTTCCTATACCCATGTCTTGGAGAGTTTTACCTATTTTGTTTTGCAGCTGATTAAGCATTTCTGTTTAATTATTTAGATCTTTGATCCATTTTGATTTTAGTTTAGTACGTGGTGAGAGATAGGAATCTGGGTTTGGTCTTTAGCATATGAATAGACAGTTTTCCACTAATTATTAAAGTAGCTAATAGAAGTATCTGGAGTGTGCGTGGGGTTGTTTCTGTAAAGTCTACTCTGTTTCATTGATCCAGAAGTCTCCCCCCCCCACACACTGATGCCATGCTGTTTTTGTCACTGTAGCTTTATTGTATAAGTTGAGTTCCAGGATTGTAATGCTTTCTGAGTT